GCCCTTTGTTAATAAAGACCTCATATCAGTGGATAAGTGAATTATTAAAATAATAATATGCTGTAAGTCAGTTCTATGATTGGCAGGGAGAGAGGTGGCAGTTTGATATTGCCTAATATGTGTGCTTTAAATCATAAGGTCTGTCCATGAGTCAAGTTGCATGTTTAGACTCCCAGCTTGTATATGAGAACGAGTAGGGATGTCTTAGTAACTCTTACCAGCCTTGTGGGTTTTCTCCGGGTCCACCGGTTTCTCACACTACTAAAGACCTCTACGCGCAATCAAATTATTGGATTAAAAAATGACCATTTTGTCCCTAAATGACCTAGTTTGTGTCCAGTGGACATTAAACACCATTTCTCTCTTTATTAGTTCCAAAATGGCCCTAGTTAGTTGAGTGGATGTTAAATTTCATTTTGCACCTGTGAGACAACCATGTAGGGTACTTTGGGTACATGTTGGTATATGTTTTATTAATGGAGGGAAATGTCATGACAACTTCCCCCTCGATCTGAACTAGGTAATAAACGACCACTTGACTGTTTCTGCTTCATGTACTAAACAGACACTTGAGAAAGTTTATTCATTTATATTTTCCAACATATCTCATACACTGTGACACTATCCATTTATATTCATTTAACATTTACAAATGAATTCATTTTGTTTTCGTCTGCTTTAGCAAAAAAAAGAGTATTGCAGATGGGGTATTGATATGATTTGAGTGTTTTTCTGTCACTACAAAATAAAAGCATGTCGAATTGTTTAAGTGGATAGTTTACGTATTGTTATGATCTTGAATCGTCCAGGTGACCAGCATTCAAATAATCATAAATCAAGATGGACAAATTTGTATAAAATAAGTTAAGTGAGCAGAAGTCTTCCTTTGAACTGATGAGACAAAGACGACTACGATCCTCAAGGGAAACAATTTGACACGATCGGGATGAACATTGAATATCTGATCAATATCAGACCATTGTCATTAGCAGTAAAGGCATGTCTCGACTACCTATATATAATACAATAGAAGAACAAGCACTGGTCGTCATTGTCCACTTTTATTACTCTTTTTATCCCTGCTTTGTCCATCGTCTTTATTTTGTTGATTTTTTTATCTTGGTAGATAAAAGGTAAGAAAATATGAACCATGTGCTAAATTGATTTTTGTTGTCCATGGTTAGAATACCTAGGTCGGTAGGTGGTGGGGTTTAAAGGTGGTAATATGTAGCAACATATTGTCAATAATTATCACCGGGGAGAGATCATTTTTCACAGTCACACTCACAAATTCCGCGGGTAATCGTTTTATTGAGATTCTCAAAATATTCAATGGGAAGCCATGTATGAAAGTTAATTTCTACTTCTGTGTTTGTTTTTTTTGGTTTTTTTCCTTGGTATTCACATTCTTCCTAAATGATGTGTTTCCAGAATTTTTATCGTTATGGGACCTGAATAGATTTTAACTAAACAAAAAAAATTGGTTGTGGGAAGGATTCCGATCTCCACTGTAATAATAATATGGTTAATATCCCTGAACAGTTGAAGATTGATAAATGAAATGGGGTTTAACATCCTATATGAAGACTAGGAAAACGATTGTTATTTGATCTCTAATTGAAATAACATGCCAATATCTGAGAATAATGGAGAGTTGTTCATGTGCACAATATATTGACATTTAGATTATTGGAATTTTAATCTAGAGACAGTGAGACTATAATGTCATTCATTTGAGTTATACCATCAGTCTGAGCAGAACCGTAGGATGTTAAAACCCCATTTCATTTCATTTCATTTGAGTTATATATTTATAGTTGCAGTGTGTTCATACAAACTACAATGATTGTTGTAATTAATAAACTATTACTGGTAAACAGATTAATTGTTTTTGTAAGTAAAAATATCAATTAGGAAATTTTTACCATCTGAGATCAGTTAAATGCAACCGTTTACAAACACTACCCAGTATTCCTCTATCAATAACCTTGCTGACCATTACTTTAAACATAACATTAGGTAATTAATTTAAGAGGCCGAGCAAGTTTTTCAACTTTGCATTTGAGAAATATGGAGGTTTCATATAAAAAGTTGTTTTAATATAGTTGGCTTTGATATAGTATGTGTTTACTCATGGAAAGATTGAACTCTTAATTTGTTTTACCAAGTAATGAAAATATTCCTATTATAATCATGTTATGAAATGCCAAAAATGTTGTTAAGTACAGTAAATGTCAATAGGAAAGGGTAATTAGCTATTGTCTGACATTTATTTCATTTAACATACTAATAGATATTTTGATGACACATGGATTTCGATAATTATTTTTACTATTTACACTACAATGGTTCAATATTTAATAAGTGTATTTAAATAAGAGAAAATTGGATAGAACATGAATCACCTGTATTAATGTAGAGATGATGTCTGCCATCTGATTAAATGTAGGTGGCGCCGATCTGATGTATCTGCTGTGCTACTCAAGTACAATAATGCAACTATTTGATGAATTGCTTGTTTCGGTCTAGTGCGTTATTGACAACTTGTGTGGTCACCTTAGTGTCTGCATTTTAGGAACTGCAAATTGGACACCTTTTGAAAAACATGTAACTAGTTATTATAATTACCTTTATCCTCTTTCATCTGACATATTTTGCATACCCAAATAATTTACAAAAAGAAAGCAAAATATTGACAAATAGAAACTAGAAGCTGACATTTTTTAACAACTTTTAAACTTTATGACGAAATAAACCCCTCTCATGATAAGTGTTGCGACTGGATGTCAGAATATTATAAGTGAGAATATCATGAGACAAGATTCATCTGTGTATATTAAATCTTAAAAGCTACCTGTAATTTATTTGGTTTCTTTGAAACACTTCTAGCTTTTGTTGTGCTACTGGTCTCTGAAGATAAAAGAGTTGATTTGAAACACCTCTACAGGTTACAGAACATGAGAATTCTTGTTAGGCCCGTACCTGTTGACCCATTGACTTATGAATCATAAAGGGCCGATGTAGTTACAACATATAAAAAATATCTTTCTTATTTTTGACACAATATAATCATTCACTCAGGGAAGTGAACAACAGGTTCAGTGTCTAAAATATTGTACAATATTCTTTTGATGATAGGATACAACCATTTAGGGGCCAGTGAATGAATTTTCAGGATTTTTTAAGTTATATTCCCCATTTGTCAGAGTAAATACAGGGAAAAATGTGTCTAGGTTCCCGAAGGGGCAGAAGGGGTATTTCTGGGCCCTTGGACCAACTGGCTTCCTTGGGCCCCCATTGCGTGATATGACGAGAAAAAGAAACTAGAACCTTACTCCCAAAATTATCAATCCTCAAATTAAAAATAACCATGTGTTAAGTCTTAAACTTACTTAAACGAAGGGCCCATGAGTCATTAAACACCATTAACGTAAATATCCGCTACCAAATTAAGATGAATAATAAAAAATAGAACATGGGAATTGTATAAACTATATGGTCTATATAATTGTATACAATATCAAATGGTCATTTATATATAATTTACTATAACTGACCTTTCAAATTGCATGATGTGGACCTTCGTTTATTTCATTAAATGAGGCAATGTATGGAGTACTGGTTTCTAATGGCTTAGACCTACAATGATTCAAATAAGGAAAAGGGGCATTTGTATTGTATTAGGCTTCACTGACTAAATAAAATTACAGGTGGGGGTCGCTATGCTTACTTGATTTATATATTCCCAAATGAATACAATATTCCCAGATGAATACAAATCCTCCTTTGTTTGACTGTAAATTTTACTTTTATTAGTAATTTATGAAGGCACGCATATGCACAGCATTAGTTCAGCATCCGCAACATCTCTTAAAGGATTAAGTGTTTACAGTGGTTGACAACTGTGAATAGCTGAGTCACTAAGGCAATTTGTAGCCCTCCAGCAGATCCACATAAAACAGATCATTTCTTGCATGAAACTACTTTTTCATTGAGTAGATGCAGAAAAATTGACTGTAAAGCTCACCCATGCAACTGTTTCAGATATAATACCCCAACAAATCTTCTTATTCAGTTATCAGCCTTGTCTTTGGCAGCTACACAAACTCACTGAATGATAAATTTAAAAATACTTTAATAATGATTTCTCGATAGTTGTTATAATACTTCTAACAAGCTTGTTATTGCCACAAATGATTGCAAAATAGGATACCAATGACATTGCATGATACTGAAGAACAAGATTATACTGAACAACACCTTGAGCCAAATACTTGCCCTGACAATCCACAAATCACTTTACATTGACACTGATTTACAAGATGTCTTTTTGTGTTTTATGAAAAGTTGCTTTTATTCATTTCAAAAGCAGTTTGACCGATTTGAAATTCTGTTGTAGATATCACTTCCATTTACCGGTAGTCAATATTTCAGACAATATCTGGATGAATAAGCTTTCAATGATATTACAAGGGAGAATTTATTAGTAAATAGAGAGTTGTTCATCGCACCAGGTTTAGGTCACTATGACTAGTTACCAGTAATGTCAAACTGTTCTTGTAATTTCAATATGGTGCAACGTTTCAATTGTGTAACTTCCTCCTACATTAACATATCCTGTGGTTTATGGAACAGAATAGGGTTTAAAGTAATATCACTACAGTAATCTAGGGCTAGGTATGCAATGTGAGGAGGATAATTTTGCCCAGATAGTGATGTTTCAGCATACCTTTCATTGAACTTCCTACTAAAAATGGATTATATATCTACACTTCATAAACTGGGATTGAAAAACTCTGAAGATTCATCACAGAACAAAGACATTCCAGGTAGCATTTTGCTAAGATTCCTGGAAGACATTGTGATTTCTCAGTCCAAATCAACCCAGTTTGAATCGTTTTTTCGTTCTTTTCAGCCTAACATTTTAATGTCTTTTCTTTTTATTTTTAAAAAACGTGTGATTATTTTTGTTTAAATTTTGACTGTTTCTCTGTTTTCAGCTGTTGATTGTAAAGTAGCAGATTGGGGTAAATGGAGTGACTGTGATAATCCTTGTGGTGTAGGCAGCAAGAAACGAACAAGAAAAGTCTCACAATATCCAGAAAATGGTGGTAAACAATGTCCAGTTTTGAAACAACGTCAAGCATGTGTTGGCGATGGAAAAGCTGACGAATGTCTACAACAGTCAGTTGAAAATCAGTTTGAAGAACTACATGGTAAGTTTTCATTCAATTATATCACGTAATATGACTATGTTTTTACTTCTCAGCTGTTTTGACCCTAGAATTATACATTATTTTATTTTTTCAGCAGTATATTTAGTCATAAAAAATCAATATATTTCTCCCAATGATAAGAGAATTATTTGGTGGTTTGTAGATATTTCCAAAAAACTGCAAAACAGAAATGAAACAATAGATACAAGCGCTTTAGATCATAAGGTCTGTCATTGAGTCAAGTAGCATGTTTTCAATTCCCAGCTTGTACGTGAAAAGGAGTAGAGTTGCCCTCCAACCTCGAACTTGTGGGTTTTCTCCAGCACGTCCGTATCCCTCGCACTGCTAAAGACCCTTATGCACAAATGAATTATGGAAATAAAATTGAACCATATCTTAATCATGAAATGACCTAGTTTGTGTCGTGTGAATGTTAAACCCCCTTTCTCTCACTCTTTGTAGATAATAGAATGTGGAAATAGTTTCATTTTATGATATCTTAAGATCATATTCTATCCTATAATGAGTTCAAATTGACTGATATTGTCTGAGCAACCAATTGATAGTATGATAATGTATCGAATTTCCAACCAACTCCCCTTTAATTGTAAAAAAGATATTTAAAAAAACCATAACTAACCTCTTTAGATCTATGATAGATATTAAAATTACATATTTCACATATCCGTCATTATGGATATTAAAAGGTAGCCAGATAGTCGAGATTGATATCACTTGAGTTCTTTTTCAGTGATTTATAGAAAGTGGTCTTTCTGAGAACAATGGGAGTCTGAATACAAACACTATATAGATATATTTTAAACTTTTTTTTGTCTGTTCCCAGACTTCAAAATAATTCGAAACATATACACCACTGCTCTAATTGAGGAAAGTGGATTGTCTTCTTTAATCCCTTGTACCCTTATTAAGTTGTAAATTGTAAGCAATTTGACAGAATCCATCTTAAACCAGGTGGTTTTGTGGATTAGACTATATACAGTTGACATTATGGTTCGAGCACAACACATAATTCAACGTCACTATGAGTAGATGTGCAACCAAGGATAGCAAATAGTTAATTATCATTTACCTGTCTCCATTTACTACCATCTTTTTTTTGTGATAAGAAGTCAAAGATCAGAATTTTGATGTCTGCGCTAAATTTGACATCTTGTCTCGAAAGGTTGATATCATATCACATTCACAAAGCATGCATTGATACTTGTTGACCTATAGATCGCTTGATGACACGTAATCATTCATCAGGTCTGATTCTTGGGTAAATAGATAAATGAAATGAAATGGGGTTTAATGCCCTACTGTTCTGCTCCGAACTTGGCTAATGAAGACGGGCATATGCCGTACAGTGTGCTGTGAGGGAAATTTTGCCCAGACAGCTGCACTGCAGCCTATTCTTATATCGTATTCCAACTGTCATGGGATCTTTTCCGTGCACGCCAATGTGTACACGGGACCTCGTTTTTTCATCTCATCCGAACGAGTAGAGAAAATTGTCCTTGTCAGGTTCTCCATCCTGCATCACTGATAAGGGGGAACCACGGCGGAAAATCTGGATGAACTTTCTCGGCAAATGCAGGCTTCGAACACCCGACCTCAAGGCTAGCTAGCCAGAATCTTACCTTAGCTACCGTGACCCCCCCCGGGTAAATAGATAAATACTTAGTTAATGAACAGATATTTTCTTCAGTGATACATATTTTACTTGGTGGCATAAACTTATATCTAGCGTTAAAATTTCTCATCTTTATTAAAATCAGTTTTGAAGAGACACAAATATATTCAATTAGCGATGGATGTTATTTATAAATAGATCAAATTATACTACAACACTTTGTCATTATTATGTCGTCACATCCAAATAAAAAAAAAAAACATCTACTGACATTAAATGCATTGACCAGTTTTACACGTTTTCTTCTGTTAAGAAGATTTACAGAACATAGTAAGAATAGAAATATACAGTGTGAAAAGTACAAAATAGAAAACTTTAAATAAAAAGAAAAAGATTAGCAGAATGGTGGAAAAAACCTTGACTGGAAAATATGTATCACCATTTTATAAGAAGAAAAAAATGAGAAAATGAGCAGACAAGTGATGCTTATGAACATTATTATCATTGTGTTATATTAAATGAAGTGTTCAAGATTTAAATTTGAATTTGTTGAAATCCTGATGAATATTATGGTTTTTACGGTTCAAAAACTATGCAAAATTTAGACTTATTGTTAAGGGTTTTTTTTAAGCAACTGTAATATGATGCATATTATATAGTGTGTGTAACCATGAATAACAGTATTATGTAATTTCCTCTGACATGCTCCCAGTTAATTTGCACCAGATAGAAAATTTATGTCATTGACCATATAGGCACCTGCAGTCAATGAACATTCCACCAGGTTTCCTGCATGATTTATTTCATATTGTTCTACTGTATTAATAAAGTGACTTGTCTAGGTCAGTTCATGTCAATGATCACTAGAGACTTTATCTATATCTTTATACATGAAACATTAATTAAAAACATGACATTTTGCTTTTGTTTAATACCTGGAAGTGGTTCCTGCAAGGTGAACATCAAGAATAATTGTGTGGTAAATAAACTGTTCAGTATGTTAGCTTATCCTATTATCTGACACAAAGGTGGGCAGATAAAATTTTTTTTTGAAAACACCTGCTCCATACCCATCTTCGAGAAAGGTGTATTTCCTATGCTCGCATATCTTGGTTGTCAAAGCGGGTTAAAATACACTACCCCAAAAAATGATACTTATCTATTTGTCAGTATGTAATAATTGATGTGATCCTTTCTGTGAAAAATTTAACTGTTACAAAGATAGTTAAAATGTCAAATTTATATTTATTGTTGAAGATTGTAAATTAAAAGATTGCCTACTGAATTTAGAGTTTACTTATCTCTGGTGTATCTTGCCAATGTTTGTGATAAAACTGGTATATCACCGAGACTAGATGAACTAAAATAGACTTGGTGTGTAAAATTAGAAACTGTTACATAAATTTAATCTGAACTTTCTCTTCAATTTTATCCTAAATCTTGAAATTGTTTCAAACTTTCCTTCCTTTGACAATTGATAAAAAGAAAAGGTATTTCTCTAAGATAACTAAAATTCATTGACTTGGTTCCAGACGTACTTTGTGATAGCAAATAATCAGCAGAAAGATTATCACATAAATAGAATTTGTTTGAAACGAAAATAATAGTTTCTGATTACATAAACTTTCAAATGAGTGAATTTTAATAAAAATATTTATTTGTTGACTTTCTGTTCTTGGAATATCTTGTAAGATAATATGGGCACAAAGGAAACCGATAACAATTGAAATATTGGCATTTATTTTCCCAATTGACTTTATTTTGAAAGGCAATATGGCTGTGTGAGAAAAAGTCAATAATTGTGTTAAATTGAATAAAGATATAATTTCTTGAAGGGTAAATGGAAACCCACAGTAGCACCAGATACAAAGAATGAGAAAAATGGTTGACTGAGAGTTCCATAAAGACTTTGTAAACAAGCAGCAGGTTTAATATTTTTTCACACATCTTTGCTAGGATAAGATTGATGAAGAAAATATTTGGTCAAACAACACACTCCATGTGGTCAGCGGTTTGGCTGATGGTCAAGTGGTGAGCAGCTCCACGAGATGAGGGTCAGATGAATCAAAAACCCAGCTGGATGTTCATTCCCCGCTTACATTTTATCCACTTGAAGAAATTGATTTACAAACATAATCGCTTCATTCTCAAACAATTGGCCATGTCGAGTCATTAGAAAACCCCTTTTCCTCGACTCAAAAACTCTTAAAACAAACTTTATAGCCACCCTGATCCATCAGAGCTTATCAATCGTGCTAGGCCAAGAATAGAAATTCAATTTACACAAGTAAATAAATTGATTTTTCAACATCTGTCCTGTGCAGAACCATGTTCATCTGACAGTTGAGATTAGTGGTAAGAAATTAATGGAATTAAATATTAATTGAATGAAGAACCTGCTCTAGTTAACAGTTGTGAATTAGCAAATGAAAACATATAATGACATGCACTGTGTCTGTCCATGTCAGGAGTTTGACTCAGCTAGCTCTAAAATGAATCAAATTGTCTTATTATTACCGGTATTGCAGCCAAGTATGATTTTTTACTCTTTAATATGATTTGCTTTTAGAAATTGTCTTGAAAATCGATATACAGGTCTTTGTGACATGTAAGAGATAGTAGGGTGTACAGGCACAGTTATAAAACAAAATTTCAGTGGCCTACCCATAACTGGTTCAACCCTTAAACATCTGTTTCTTTCAGGAGTTCAAATTTTCAGGAAGTATATCCCATCTCTTTTATGCAAGGGGTCTAAGGGTAAGGGATGGCCGAGAGAGCTTGAAGCTTCTACTTAACGATTGCCTCCATAGTTATACACCTAAAGCTTTCATTTCTTTTTTGGGGGGCGGTGTGGCTTCACAGGTTTTGACCTTAAGCTACCGGTTTTGATTGGTGTTATGCACCAAGTAGGGTATGTTTACTCTTTCTGAAACACTTGATACCACTTGTTGTCGCTTGACTTTCTGTAAGAGAGCTGACCTCAAGCAGGTTCATGTGGATGAAAGCAGGTTCATGTGGATGACATTATCTTTTATCAGCTTGATATTCGGTTTATCCAAAACATTTTTTTTAACACTGTTGTGAACGTCTTTGCCAATAACTTTGACATTTTGGTTTGTCTGTACTGTGTTCGTATGCTATTATATGTTGAAATTATTCTTCAGTGTCTGCTCAATCTTGAGAATTTATTTAAATGCAATTCAAGAATCAACTCTTAAGTGTTTCAGAACTGGTTTATATGAAAACAAATTTTCCAGTTATCTAAAGTAAATAAGTGTCTTTTTGAAGTGATGTGTTTTAGAAGTAATGATACTCAGAACGATAGAATATCAAAGCCGAATAAATTTGAGGTCAGCTTGAGGGATAA